AGCTTCATCATCTTCCTGGACTACAGGTTTAGCTTCCAGTAGGGAGTTTTCAATTTGAGGTGGACCTTCCAGTTGGCTTCCAGAAGGCTCTACCTCCTCAATAGCTTCAGAAGATTGAGTTGCCTGTTCCTGATGATAGGGAGAAGGGTAAGCCATTATAGGAGAGCCTAGAGTCTGAGATGGGGCCTGCTGCTGGGCTGGAGAAGATTCAACCTCCTCAGTAGGCTCTGGAGTTACAGTAAGCTCCATATCTACTGGCCTAACCGTCACATTGGACAAATTATGATCAGGAACTAGATCTTGACCTGAAGGTTGCGGTGTCACTTCCTGAAGTGGTGGAACTTCACCTACAGTTTCCACAGGGGCCTCTGAAGCACTATCATCTTCCTGTGCTGTAGGTCTGACTTCCTCCAGAGGATTATCAGTTTGAAACATAGAGACCAGCTGGCTTCCTGAAGTTTTCATCTCCTCAGGAGCCTCAGAAGGTTGAGCTGGCTGTTCCTGATCATAGTGAGAGGGTTCAATCTCCTCAAGAGAGTGAGGAGGCTGAGATGGGGTTTCCTGCTGGACAAGAGAAGGTTCCACCACTTCAGGACTCTGCGGAGGCAGGGTTGGGGCCTGCTGCTGGCTCAGAGTAGGTTGGGCCTTTTCCCCCACCTGGTTGGTGACCGTAACCTCCATCGCCATGTTAACTGTGACAAATGGCGAGTGTGAGTGATGAGTTATGCTCCTACACAGAGTTGGAGCTTTTCCTCCCTTGGGCATCAACAGCTGAGCTACACACTCCTCAGTATCAGACAGTGTGTGCTGGGCCTGGGCCTCCTGCTGGTGAGTGGAAGGCTCTGCTTCCTCAGGGAGCTGTGGGAGCTGACCTGAGATTTCCTGCTGGGGTAAAGGAGACTTGACCTGGGTAGGCTCTGGATGGACAGTCGGGGCCGCCAGCCGGAATTGAGAAGGTACAGTTTGTCCAGGGGTCTCTGGAGGCTCCCCTGGGCTGTCCTGGGACTCCAGATCAAGGCTGTCATGGTCAGCTGTATCTGCACTCGGGTCTGCGTAGTCCTCTTGTGGGGTTTGCTGCTGAAGCTTAGGTTTTACAGGCTGAGGTGAGGTGCCAACCTCCACCTTACCAAGTTGCCCGTGCTGGGCCAGCCCCTCCTTGTTCAGGTGTGAAAGAAACTTTGCTGCTTTTGACCTCTGGCTGTCTAGAGGTGGAACAAGCATTTCCAGGGCTGCAGGCGCTGCAGGCTGATGTAGCCTGGCCATCTGGATCATCCTTCTGAGACGAGGAGGCTCAGCTAGAGCTTGGCTCTGACCCCCATCTAGCATCAGAACCAGCTCTGGGAGGCCCTCTTGCCAAGGCAGCTTGGCATTCAGACCCTGATGTGAAGCAGCAAACTCATCTAGCTCCGGGGATAGATGTCCAGTGAACTTCTGAGGTGGAGACATCTTGGTGGGGCCCGAGGAATCCAGGTAATCAAAGTCCCCAAGGTCTGCCTGGGGAGTAAAGGCATTGATCGATTGGGGTAGGAGATCTGGATTGAGGGAAAAGGGTTTTTTTGGCCCCAGGGGCTCAGAGTTCAGCTGGACTGGATGTGGGGCCCAGTCTGGCTGTAGAGCAGCTGGGACCAGCAGCCCCAAGTGTAGCCACACCAGCAACCATGAAGCCCAGAAGTGCAGCAAAAACATGAGGGGGCAAGGTTCAGTCACAGAAATCTCAGCCAGTGCGGTGTTGATGCCAGGTCTGCTAGAACCTTCTGACAGCCACCTGTGTGGCAAGTGCCTTGGTAACTATGCACACCCACATTCTGCCATGCCCTGCCCCTTATGACATCATTATTTAGGAAACTTTCATTAGGGCTTGCCCAACAATGACCAGGCCTGAATCCCTCTCCCTTAAAAAATGACAGCAGCCTTTCCCCTAGGGCCACTTCCCCCACAGCAACACAGGATGTGTGACTGCCTTGGATTCATGGTTTTGGGCCTCCAGTGGGTGGTTTAGGTGGGGCAGAGCTTCTCACTGAAGTCTAGGCTAGGCCTTGGGATGCTCAGAAATGCTAATCCAGCCTTGGCAACTGGAGCTCTTCCTCCTTCATGCTGAAACCCCAGAGAATTTTCCTTTCCTTGGCTTCACTGTTTCCAAGCAAAACAACCAAATGCCCAAATCAGGCCCAGTTAGAGAGGACTTAGGAGAACACACAAGGCGCTATGTTCCCCAGCGATGCTGTTTGGTCTGAACTCGGTGAAAGGGGCTCCTGCTTTCATACTTCACTCCTCTGTGCCATACTGGAGCTTGTAGACTCCATGAGGACTCCACAGTTTCTACAGGCGGGCTTGGGTGGTGGGCAATTTAACCTGAATGACAGGGTCTGAATCAGTGCACAGCTCTTCACGTGAGTGTGGGAGAACTTGCCCCATCCCACAGGGCTCAGTCCCGGGTTTCTAGACATGACAACGCTTAGCAGAAGTCTCCCAGTTGTACACGTGAGAAGGACATGTAGGACCCTGAGTCTTCAGGTTAAATACTTCTCTACAAATACTACTCTAAACCCACTTCCTTCACAGTTTTTATTTTGTGGGAAAAAGTAAATTTCATAACAAAATAATAGGAGAATAACAAAAGTTAATACATTGCATATTGTTATCTTTAAAGTCGTTACTCAGAGTACAAGATATGGGCACAAAAAATCTCCAATCAATATCAGCATGAACCTTCCTTGTCAATGAACTAAGAGACATTAGTAAACTAACTTGCACTTTTGTTACTTATCTTCCTTTCCTCTTTTCCCTAACCTCATTCCTTTTTCCTTTTGACCAATTTGTTCCTATTTCATAATAGCTATCATATAGTACCACCAAAAAAGTCTAAACGTAATACCTATTATACTAATGTTTATTTATGTATTGTCTTTCTAAGAGGCTCTCACTATGTGGCTCAGGCTGGCCTTGAGCTCACTTTGTAGCCCAGGGTGGCCTTGCACTTGCAACAATCCTCCTGCCTCAGCCTCCAGAGTGCTGGGATGACAGGCATGTGCCACCAGGATAGGCTGTGATTTTTTTTCTTTTTTATTGTACATTTTGGACCTTATTAACTTTTTCA